AAACACAGAGGCATGTAGGAATAGACACGCTGAGTGAGTTTTAGAGAAGAAAGTCATGCACAAATGCGTGATTGAAATAGCCTCCCCAAACAGGACGACTTACGTTCCCCTCTCTCCTGGAAATCTAAATCCCAGAGTGTGTAATTTTGATTTGCATTTTCAGTATAGGAATATAACTCAACAAGACGGTGCGGCCTCATCCAGGTAGGCACGTCCCACCTGCTCTTTATGATGAAGAGACTGAAGTGGGGTCACAGAGTGAGGGTGGAGGCCACCACATCCGTGAAATAAGCTGGAAGGCTCTGCCTAACGCGTGTGGATTCCATTGCCAAACTGTCTTCATTTAATTAAAGAAGACACCTTTTCATGCCTAAAATAAGGGGGTACTTAACAACTCCACATTCCTTCTCACTCACACGTCACCACAGTGAGCGCAAGATATGGAAGGGGTGCCGTTAATCTGAAGACCACGCAAATGCTGTCTTTTTCAAATGGCACTTTCCTCTCAGATCAGAGATAGTCCAGGGAAGGGAGGTTTTCCAGTGGGTTTGTTTTAACGCAATCACCAGTAGATCACAGAAAGACGTGCTTTTTAGAATCTGAGCAAATTATCACTGCAGGTCGGTATTCAGAGGATGCATGTGTCTATGTAACTGCGTCATTGCATTTTCAAAAATACGATCAATTTGGACTAGAAATTAGGGCTCTATCGAGTATTCACTTAAATTGATTTGCCTTTTTAAATTGTAGCCCATTTGCTCAAATCAGCAAACTAAAGGGCAACAGAATTCTGCTTCTGCCAAGTTTATTTACCATTTTGTTACCAGTTTAACTGATCACTACCAAGTTTACTAACTTTCTTTTCCCTTTCTAGAATGCCACTGGTTCTGCTCATCAATTTGAAATTGTACTAGGTTTCATTTGCATGATAAGGTTCCTATGTAATAAATGGAGCAGCTTGAGATCTTAAGGAATGAGGAAGTCACCTCTTACTGTGTTTTGAGAGTAAGAATCTGGACAAACAGATTCCCTTTCAGTCAAACCATATTTACACTTCTGAGTGACCTGCAAAGTACTGTGGGCAACACGAGAAATAAGAGACACTGTTCCTTTCCTCAAACGATTTAAAATTTAGGCAAATAAGCCACAATAAAGTCTTCCTCAGGATGATTTAGCTTAATGATTTCTCACTTTTCTGGCACTTTCAGAACATGAAGAACCCTACACAAGGACCCAAACATTTTTAACCTTACTTATTTTTGAGTGAGTCTTTGACGTGAGTCCCTGTTCCCAAGAGTATCACAAATGAAGCTTTGTGGCTCAGGGTCCTCATGACGAACAGTGATGGGCCGGAGCACGTCACACCCTTGGGAGCCACCGAGGGGGAGGCTGCTTCCTGTGGGCTGCCCAGCCTCACCCCACTATGCTTCTGCCTCAAGGGAGTTTCCGTGGGCTTTTCCTGCCCTCTTCCTCAGCCGTCCCTCAGTGGTCAGCGGCACCCTACCCTTTCTAACTGGCTGCTGCGCGCTAGGCTGGGCTGAGCGAGGACGCTCCGAGAATGTGCAGGACAGTAGTGACAGTGCAGTGGCGGCCACAGCCAAGTGCAGGTTCTTTCACACATACGAGCTCCTCTGCCAGCCACGCTCTGCGGGGCTCTCTTCCAAGTAAACTGCGCTGGTGCCACTGGTTTCTGTGACGGTTTCTGGTTTCTGTTCTTTTTCCCTTGGAAACACTGTGACAATCTAGGCTTTTGGCAGTTTTCACTTATCTCCATCTTTCGGCTCTCTGCACTCCCGGAGGTCTGGGGGTCAGACAAGCGGGCTGTGCCAGACTAACTGAAGTTGGAACTGATTTCCTGAGGTCACTTCGGACTAAAGGGCTCTGTTGGGACCACTGCCTCCCGCCAGGTGGACACCGGGGCTCAGGAAGCCACCATCAGGATGCGGCCTCTAGGCAGGCCTGGCAAGGGCCCCCGCACAAGCTTCGTGGATGGCGCCTGCGGCTCGGCACCGAGGGCAAAGGACACGAAGGGAGCCGCAGCCCGAGTCCTCACTCGGCTCACATGGAGACTGGACGCCATGTCCTGAAAGCATTGGAGCTTCTGGGGACCTGTATTTGAGGACCCTCAAAACTCTAACCTTCATGCCACTCAACATTAAATGCTGAAAAATGCCCACACAAGGCCAAGGGTAGGAATGAGATTTCTGGGGCAAGTGGACAGTCTGCACGGGGCTAGGGCTCTGCCACGCTCCCTGTTCTTAGCTCGGCCGGGAGCCTGGTCGTGTCAGCGTCGGTGTCTTGCTTTGGTTACATTGGCCACTTTGTCCCTACCACCACATCCTCTTGTTCACCTCTCACAGCAAGTGTGTCGGTTACACCTTCTCACCCCATGTTTTAGGGCGAGGTAAGGCAGGCTTGGCAAGTACAATCAATTTGCCCAAAACCACGCTCCACAGTTAAGGGCTAGGATTTGTCCCCAGGCCTCCCTGAACCCAAAGCCTATACATCCTGGGGTGTCACTTGCCTTTGTTTTACTAATAACAAAGTTTCACCGGGACACTGCTACTTGATGTCAGGCATCATTTTTCACATTAATTACATTTCTTTTTTAAGTTAACAAATAAGGACTATATTTATGGTGTACGATATGCTTTGATATATGCATACATTGCGAAATGGCTGAATCAAGCTAACTAACACATGTATCACCACACATACTTTGATTTTTAAGCATGAGAACACTTAAACTCATAGCAATTTTCAAATATAGATTATATTATTATTAACTGCAGTCACCATGATATACAGCAGGTCTCCTGAACTTATTCCTCCTATCTAACTGGAATTTTGTACCCTTTGACAAACATCTCCTC